ACATTCTCCTCATATTGTTCCTGTTGTCAATAAAATACAAGACATTGTGTATGTCCCATTGAAACTTCAACCATTATGTTTCTTATAGCATTTAAGTTATTAGAATTCTATTCGATTCGGTTTAATTACCTTTTTAATTCTCACTCTGAATTTTTTTTTCCTTTTCATGAATTAAATAAATTTGTTTTTTTGAAAATAGAGACGCCGTACAGGAACCTCAACCAAACAGGCTATGCGAATAGACAAATCTCGAGTCGGGTGAGCCGTCCCCCCCCCCCCCCCCCCCCTCTATATAAGTTTTAAAAATATATTCGTTTGTTTGGTTTTTGTCTCAAAAAACAGTATTCGAAAACTGTTTTTTAGAAGAGTTTTAAAAAATTATTTTTGGTATTTTTTGTGTCATAAAACTTGTTTGGTTATCTGATTCAAAAAATAGTTCTATAGAATAGAAAACAATAAACTTGTTTGGACAACAACCCAAAAAACTATGAAAACATAAATGTAGTGATAGTGGAAGTGGAAGTGTGGTTGTTATGGTGGTGGTTGTGGAAGTGTGGTCATGGTGGTGGTGTTTTCTAAATTCTGAAAATGTTTTCAAAACACACAAAATAGTTTGCAGGTGGTGGGTAGTGGAAGTGTGGTGGTGGTGGTGAAAGTATGGTGGTGGTGGTGGTGGTGGTGTTTTCTAAATTCTGAAAATGTTGCCAAAAACACACAAAATAGTTATAACTTATTTTTTAAATCTAACCACTTTTTGTTTTTAGTTTTCAAAAAACAAAAACAAGAAACAACTGGGCATAGCTTTTCTCCCAGAAATTGTTTTCAAAAACAAAAAATAATTTTTGATATACAAACTAAATAGGACCCCTTTCCAGAATTTAGAAACTACCACCAAAAACAGCACCACCACCACCACTACCCCATTTTTATTTTCATTATTTTTTAAATTATTGTTCAAACAAATTTTACTGTGTTTTTATTCCATAAAACTGTTTTTGAAATTATACAACCAAACAAATTCTACGACACAAAAAATACTAAAATACATTTTTTTTAAAACTCTTCCCGAAAATTGCCAAACAGGACCTTAGTTTTCCTTAGACTAACACATAATCTTAATAAAGTGTAATTGAGAAATTGAGGGGCCTTTACAATTCTATGGATCCCTAAATTGCAAATTTGAAGCAAAAGTACCATACATGATTCAATGATTGCCCAATTACATAAGAAATCGAGAAAATATGCATCTTCTCCTGTGACTGGAGATCGTCTTATCTGTCGATTGAGAGCTCTCCAACAAGTTGCTTCAGATCTGATTTTTCTTTTTTTTTAGATCTTGATTTTTTTCAAATTTGGATCATCCTTTACTGTTCAATCTTTGGTCACGTGGCCACAACCAACACAAGTTGAGCATTAGGGGTCAGCCTCCATTAATGGTTGCTATGGCAGCTTAAAATCTGGGTTTTTTTTTATGGCAAAAAATCTTTTTTTTTTATATATTCTAGTTGGTGCACACGTGTTTTGCACATAGATTATTTTGAGAAAATAAATTATAAGCATATACCTATTAAAACATAGATAATTAAAAGATGAAAAAAAATACGTAATACAAATTAATCATCAGATATAAAAAAAAAATCCATGCATCAACTTGAATGGACTCTCGGATGGATGCAAAAATGGCCAAGGGTAAGAAAAACAAACAAAGTTATATCCCAATGTCATAAGAAGATTAACAACGCATGAGATTCCTTAAAGCAATTAGGAATAATCTATATTAATTAGGAATAGTCTATAGTAAACTCAGCATCAACAATTCCTCTAACAAATAAGGTTACCTACTTCTTGAAAGCACAAATACGTATTAAAATTTTGTAATTGGACAATATTTTGTTTACTCATAATTGTCATGATTACTCAATACACCAATTTTTTTTTTCTGAACAATATGTATATAACAAGAAGGGGCAATGAAGTTCGAGCCCGTGACCTCAAGGTCCAACAATGGGGGTAGTGACAATTAGGCACCATAGTCCTCCAACACACCAACTTTACTGCAAGGTTTATGGCTAGTTAAGAGTTTTCAGCTTGTTAAACAATTATTGTGCAAAATACACAAAACTTACGATAAGAAAAATCTAATGCACTGTGGGATGTGCCTTTGGAGCTGTTATAACAAAGAGATAAGGTAATTCAACAAAAGAAATTAACAAACACAATGTATCAAAATAAAATGCTATCACCCAATCCATGCATGCGAGATAAATGCATTTAAAAGAACAAGAAATTCATAAATCAATCGAACATGCCTTGAGTTATAAGTAAAAATTGCAGATAAAAAATTGAAGAACCAACATATGAACCAATTTGATCTTAAAAGTGAAATATTACTAGGATATTCATAGCTCTATTTCTTTATGTAACATGAACCCACATATGAATTCCTAACGACCTAGAAATGTCTCTAGATCATAACTATCTCAAAAAAATAGAACAAATTAATCAATCAAAATTTAAAAAAAAAAAAAAATTACTTCCCCAAAAACTTTCATCTTCTGCGACCATCAATGCTCTTAATCACAAAACTTCAATACTCTTCTTCGTCATCCAAAATCCATTCATGATAGTAAATAAAATCATCTATAGAATTAGAGTCCAACCCAAATATAACAACTTGACTGAACTGATGACATTTGGCTGCAGCTATATACGTGCAGTTTTTGTCAAAATTTTTCCTAGCACCAATTTCTATTACAAATGTATCAAATTTACAAAAATAAATCACAACTAGAAAACAAATATAAGAAAGAGCATCAGAGTTGGAACTTCTTTAATTATCTTATGATGTCTTTTCTGTAGTCTATATCCTCTCTAATTACCATGTTCATCCTTGAATATTTGTCATATGAGAATTAATTGTTTGACCATGTAAACATTGAATCTACACACAAAAACGATAACCTATTTACTTCAGCAATCATGAACATTGAGTTTTTTTTTTTCCTTCAAGGAAAATGTAAAAAAAAAAATTATCTCGTATTTGCTATGGTATTGTTAGGAGGCACTTGGAATTCCAAAAAAAAAAAAAGTTTTCTTTTCAAAATTGCTTGGTTGAAAGACTAAGGCTCGGTTCTAAATAAACATTCAGGCTATTTTATAAGTTCATAATGCATGGTCTGTATCGCAATTGTTTTCAACTTCATACATTAAAACATTTTCTAGTGTTTCCTTTTTTTTCCCCAACAATTGTTTACTTTTGCATATTTAATGTTTTTTATTCAAAAACAATTGCACCTATGGTGACAACAATAACAACAAAACTTTCAATATATTTTTTTCTCATCGCATTCATCCATCCTCAAGCCGATGCTCATTATATTTGGGTTTGGTTGGTACTTAAGTTGTTTCTTTCATGTATATACACTAGTTATTTCCCTTGTCTAAAGGCACAAAATAATAAAAAAAATCAACAATAAATGTATTTGTATTCACACAAAAAATCAAATTACAAAAGATAGAAGAGAGAAAAATATTTTAAGCACTAGTTATAATGAGAGTGAGTGGTGGTGATGATTGTGATGGGTGACGACGACCAATTGTGATGGTGGCAGTCGTGGATGACAATAGTGGTGGTGGTGGGGTCGTGGTGGCGATGGTGGGACGGTGGTGGTGACAGTGGGATGATAGCACTGGTGGGGGTACTAGTGAGGCGGTAAGGATGGTGGTAGGGTGGCAATAGCGGTGGTGGTGGTGGGGGCAGTTATGGTAATGGCGGTGGGACGGTGGACATAGTGATTGTGGTTGGACAGTTTTAAACACTATTTTTTTTTATAAAATATTTATAAGAAGTTATAATTCATATAAATACTTTTAAAAAATTATTTCAAACATACTCTTAGAGACATATTTTCCCTATTAAATTTAAAGTGTTAATATTAACTGTTGGATTAATTTTAAAATAAAATTTAAAGATATCTCAATCGCAAAAAGTGAAAGTTATTTTGTTCATTTTTTAGATTTAAATTGTATTGTACTTTATTATATAGATTTTTTTGTTTTTTTGATGTCACGTCATTCATCTCCATGTCCAACTCTTTCTTGAAATAATTTATGATCTAAGTTGTTTTATGTGGGCTTGTGCGTGTTGAGGGTGAGCTGCCCCAAACAGAGAGATCGGGTGTGTTGTTTTGCTACTGTAAGTACATGTGTGTAGTCTTAACGTGTGTGAGTGCAAAATACATGTTTCAAGTGGGCCTAGGACACCAATTAGCATATGTTGTGTGTAGGCAACGAGTGTTTCATTGTGAAAGGGTAAGGTCCCTACTGATTTTTTTTTTAACTTCAAATTGTAATGAGTAAACATTTTACTTTAAGTGAACAATTTGTTACCCACATAATAAGATTATTTTAATATTTAATTGTATCAATGATTTTTCTTTTTTGGGGTAATTATGTATCCAAATATTTACTTTTTGATTTTTTTTTTGCCAGTTTAACTTCTTTTTTTTTCCAGTTTTCCTTATCTTCGTATTGGAGATCATAAAATTACAATTTGACAATGTTATCAGAACTGGACCGGTCATCGAACCGGCTAGGGAACTGAGTCAATGGTTCAGTGGTTCAGCCAGTGGGTCACTGGTCGAACCGACCATATAATAAAAAAAATAAAAAATATATATAATGTTTATAAAGCATACTCATTTAGCTAAAAAATATAAAATATGTTTATGTTTATTGAGTTGAATCCTATAACCTGTTTATTGAAATCAACCACCATTCAAGAGTCAAAACCAATAAAATTAAAACCAAAGAAATCAAGCCCGATAGATGCACAAACCATTTTCGTTTACATCCAAAATCAACCACCAGTTTTGGTTATTGAGATATGAACTAATGAAAGGAAGTTTTACCTTAATTTATAGCCTGATGTTGCTAGAGTTCGCCTGGTCGCTGGAGCCTGTCGCCTCGCCTGGTCGCTGATCATTGTGGCTAATCAGTGATTACAGTCGAAGATCCTTGGACTGGAGCCTAATCGCTGGAGTTGTGGCGGTGGTGGTGCTGAGTCTTTGGTCGAAGACGACGAAGAGTCCTTGGTCGAAGACGACGGTGGTGGTGCTGAGCTTGATCGAAGACGACGAAGAGCCTTGGTCGCTGGAGCCTAGCAGTGGTGCTGCGATTTACAGATTTAGGGCAAAAAAGAGCCCCAAATACCAGAAATAATATATAATTAATTAGTTTATGTAATTTAATTTTTAAATAAGCATTAAACCGTTCGGTTTCTAAAAAACTGCCGGTTCACGATTTTTGTTAAAAATTGGCTGATTTTCCAATTTTAAGCGGTTCAATTAAGGAACCGGACCGCTTAGGGTCCTGGTTCACGATTGAACCGGTCTAACCGGCCGATCCTATCCGGTTTTGATAACAATGCAATTTGATACTATCATACCAGATATAAAAGTGTTGGTTGAGGCGAGTGTGTCAAAATGACAGCTCCTAAAGCAGTTATTATTCCAACTGAATATCCAAAAAGGGCATACCAAATGCATTTGTGCCCTTTAGAAGAAGGTGCCTCCATTGGATTCACAGAATCCATGCTGCTTCTGTGATCAAAACATAGAGCTAATACCAAAAGTATAGAAGGAAGGGATTGCATAACCAACACAATACAATTTACAAAATCTTAAAAGTTTGTCATCAGCGAGGTGTTGTGCAGTGAATGCAGTGAGGCGTTGTGAGACAAAGGAGAATAAGTAGAACATCAAAAGCAGGCAGCAACAGCTCATTAGTGCTTGGTTATTATCTAAAATAATGGATGCTTTTGAAAAATCACAGTTTCGCTCCATTTCTTTTCCATAGTTAAAGCTCGAAATGTGGAACCAAATGTCACAGCTACAACACTCAAAACCAGAGTTACAGGAGCCAGTGCCAACAAATATGCAAGCTTCCACAGAGACTCCATTTATTGAATGGAAGCGTGACATACTCTTTTTAATATAATGTCAAATTCGTCTCTCTTGCATATAGACTTACGCGAAAATGCCCCCTAGAAATGGCAAGATGTGAAACCAAAGACGAACTTTCCTTATATGACCACTTGAACACAAAAATTCATACAACCTGCAAAACAGTTGTTCTTTGAAACATAAAATAAATAACTAAATAAATGACTTGGAAAAAGTGTAGCTAGTCAACTAAATGAAGTGGAAGTTAATTTGTGCAAGTTCAAGAATTCCAAAAAACAACTAAAATACATAAAAAACGAAGTCAAACGATGCTGCATATATCATTTCTCCTTTGGTAATAATACAAATATCAGCATTTATTTTCATTTTGTTGGAGAAACTAAGTATTTCATCATTGATAGTATGAATTAAACGATACAAAATATAGGAAAATTGGATGGGGAGTTTAGATCCATGTCCTAGGTACATGGCCAACCAACAACATGGATTGAAATCGAATTTTTCACCATTTTGGATATGAAAGAAGGGATATTTGATTCTACCGCATTATCAAAAGTTCAAGAATTCCAAAAAACAACAACAATACATAAAAAGGAAGTCAAACAATGCTGCATATATCATTTCTCCTTCGGTAATAATACAAATTATCAGCATTTTTTTGCATTTTGTTGGAGAAACTCGGTGTATGAATTAAACCATACAAAATATAGGAAATTTGGATGGGGAGTTTAGATCCACATCCTAGGTACATGGCTAACCAACAACATGGATTGAAATCGAATTGTTCAAGCGTTTGGATATGAAAGAAGGGATATTTGATTCTACTGCATTATTAAAAGAGATACGAAAATAAATTAAGGAGGCAAATACCTAATGAAATACCATGGGAGTGATTGGCATCGAACGCAGTCACCATAAATGCCCCCTCCCAAACACCGATAACCAGCTCAACGTCAATACCATAACTGAAGCATCAATGTATCAAAGCACACACCGAAAAAGCTACAGCAACAACCAAACAAAAAATAAAAATATAAGACAAAAAATCCAATTTTTGGAAATGAAACAGATGTACTGAATTAATTTAGATACCTCCAAATAAAAATAATACTCAGTTCTAGCATTTCCATAATCAGCTCTTATTGGCTTTCAGCAAAACCAATGAACAATCTCAGCACACACATTCACACACAAATATATATATAAAGGATCAGAACCACATTGTTGGGTACTAAACCGGACCGATGCGACAGTCCAGCCGCATTGCTTCACTGTAAGATACCACAAATTCGATGGCAGTTGAGAGTTCATTTCCATTGAAATAAATCACACAAAAACTCTGATTCGAGACTGAAGGGAATGGAGCGGCCAGTGGCCAAGGTACCTGTTGAAGCTGTAGTAACCGTTGGTTTCCAACTCAAACAAATCTGTTAGCAGAGCCAGGATATTTGTTTATCCAAGGTTAAATTAAGTATTCATTATACTAACAAAATATAAATATTTTTTAATATATTATGCGGTCTAAAAATTTTGTTTTTAATGTTCGCCCAAAAATTTTAATTTTTAATTGTGGCCCAAAAGTTTTGTTTTTAATATTGAACCAAAAGTTTTAATTTTTTAATATTGGGTCAAAAGTTTTTGTAATAGGTTTGGGTGAATTTTAATAAATTTGAGGAGATAATATTAGGCTCAATTTTTTTTGTTTTAAATGGATTAAATTCTTGAATTTTTTTGGGTAAATAATGTGGACATAATATAAATGAAGCGGAATACACATAATATATTATATAAATATATAATATACGTACCTTACTAAAAAAAATAAAAAAATTTGAGGGGGCACTTGTCCAGGCTCAGTTGTCTCTCTGCCTCTGAGTAATCCCCTCTCTATTTCGATCAAAATAGGAATAGAAAATCCTATTTTTTTTTTCATGATTATTGAGGCTTAAACCTTAAGGGATTTGAGAAATTGGCCTAATGATTAGTGATTTAGTGGATTGGTACTAACAACCTTATATAAAAGTGATAATTTTTTTTTTGTTTACTTTGAACTTCAGTCCACCGTAACCCGCTAATAGCAGCATCCCTGAAACTACATATATTGTAATTGGGGAAGAAGAAGAGAGGGAGCGGAGCTTTTGTTCTTCACCGAGTGATAAATACGCAATGGAGGGAGGGGGAAAGGTGGAAGTTGAAGAGAGGGAGCGTGGCTTGCTCACCACGTGGTGAATACGCTGGAGAGGGAGGGGTGTTATAACTGTTGAAAAATTGAGAGGCAGTAATTCCGAGAGGTGATTAATTAGGTTTAAGTATGACATTAATTTTATAGGATAAGAATGATATATTTACTTTTTCAGAGGATAAAAGTAAAAAAAAAATATTTTTTCTGATGTGCTGACATTTTAAAATAGTATATATATATATATATATATTCAAGTGCGCATCTGGCTAGAAGTTGCTTGGTTCATTGAATTATTTAAACTGTAACATTATTTTATTGGAGAAGAATAATTTGTTCCATCTACTACTATGTTAGACTAATAAACTTGTATCACAAAAATTGAAAATAGAAATTTTAAATACAGCTCAAAGCAATCCATGTGCAACAACTAGTGATAATTAAAAGTATAATTTTAAAACATAAATTCTAACCAAATTATATGTTATTATATAAAATAAATTACATTATACACCCATATAACTCCATAAAATATTACATTAAATTTTTTTTACATATCTATTGAGATATATCAAATTTATTTTTACCCGATCAACAATCGACACGATTAGAGAAATCTTACGTATACCAAAAATAGTCGTCAAAGTATTTACATAACATTTGGCAAACCAGTTGGAGATGCTCCTTGCCATAATAAAAATTGTGGCCAAATTTGTAGTTTCACTTTGAAACTTTTTGGTGGAAAAGGGATGTGGCGGGAAATTTGGCACCACAATTTTTCCAAAGAATTTTTTTTTTTTTTGTCGTCACCGGTGGGCCGGGCCGAAAGAATTGTACATGCCGTTTACTATGACACTTCGAATATTGTAGAATTATTATTTGGATAAATTACACTTTGACCCTATCTGCAGTATGACTTTTTTTTTTTACTTTACCCCTTGGACTATTAAAATTTTTATTTTGCACTTTCAACTACTTTGGTTAGTTCACATTGACCTAATTGTAAACGCATGTTATCTTTTTTTAAAAAAAAATTATTAACGTATTGGGACAAAATGAAAAAAAATATACATTTCCGAGGACAAAATAAAATACTTTTCGTCTATGGGAAGTACAAAGTCTAAGGAGAGATTGTTGGGAAGTACAAAGTCTATGGGAGGACCTGTCTCGTCGTCGTCCATAACACAGATTGTCTCAGACGAAATGAAATAGAAATAGAACAGAAGAAATGAAGATGAAATTTCAATTCATTAAAAATTTTATTTATTAGATGGGGCCCAGCCCATATGAAACAAAAAGGATGATGAAACTTCGTTTCAATTCATTTAAAACTTAAAAAAAAAGCTAAGTGGCTGAACAATAGAAATGAAAAAACTACTAAAAAACATAAAAATAATAATAATAATGGAGTGCTGGACACAAACGGTGATTATTGCTTCTCATGAGGGTTATTTTTGTAATTCAACAGTGAGAACCCAATCCTTTTTTTTCTTTTTTATCAAAAGGAGACCCAAACCTCGCTACCACTACTGCTGCATGGATAAACGCCTCGAGTCTCCTTTGCTTCCCCCGTAATTTAGGGGTGTTTCTCTTAACCTGCGAATAAGAAATATAGGGCCGGTATGATTTGTATTTTAAAAAATAATATCTAAAAAGAATTTTTGAAAAGAATTTTAAGAAAATAGTTTTGATATTTTTTAAGATAAAAAATTATTTGGTTGGATGATTTCAAAAATAATTTTACAATACAGAAAATAGTAAAACTTGTTTGGATAGCCTAAATATATATTTGAACAGTAATTCAAACATTAATAAAAAAATATAAAAAATTTATTTTTAGATTGACAAATTTATAAAAAAAAAATTCAATAAATCAAATTTTAAAATATATATATATATATATATATATATATAGACCCCTCACACATAATATATATATACATATATACGTTTTTATATAGATATGAATAAATATACATATATATATATAACTAAATAAATAAATAGATAAATATATATATATATATAAAAAATAAAACAGGAGTGTATTTGAATTTTATCTCAATCATATTTTTTCTCTCAAAATCATCATCAATCACTTACCTTACCCATCATCCCTTTGTCAGATTCAAACGTTAAATCATATCACTCATTTCTATCATATATTTAATTATTTATATATTTCTTTTCTAACTATCATATATTTAATCATTTAATATTTAATTAATTTGTAGTTAATATATTTTAAAAAAATTTAATATATGAGATCAATTTTTTGGACGTTTAAATTTTATATTTTATCGTGTTTTCAGACACAAGTTATGACTAGTATATATATATTGTGTGTGTGTATGTGTGTATATATATATATATACTTTATATAACTTGACAATTACAGTTATTTTTATATTAATAATTTCATAATATATATATAGGGATAATTCGCCCCTGAAGGCACGATGCAACGAAATAATCGAACATTGAACATTGAATGTTGTCACCAACAACTTAACTTTCGTTGATACATACATGGAAATGTTCAAAAGAAAAGTAACTTAAAATACAAAATGCTAGCTTCCAGTTTATGGCAGAAGCTTCAATTTCAGGCCATGCTTATCAAAGTTTTATCTCAACTCACATGAATCAAAACTTCTTGAAACCCATCAAAACCAATCAACATGCAGACCAACCAAACCCCAGATCATACCCACCCATCAAAACCAACAGGAACCAGACCACAACCCACCTCTCACCTCAAACAACAAACCCTTTTCAGCTTCAAAGTCAAATATAAAATTCCTTCAAAGTCTGCAAAATCACACACAAACCCTTATTAAAA